CTCGTATACTCTTATACTCGTATACTCTTATACTCGTATACTCTTATACTCGTATTTTCTTATGCTCGTATACTCTTATACTCGTATACTCTTATAATCTTATCTAATCTAATATTCGAATACTCTTATATTCCTATATATACTCTTATACTCGCACGCTCTTATACTCTTACACTCTTATACTCGTACACTCTTATACTCGTACATTCTTATACTCTTACACTCTTATGCTCTTACACTTTTGTACTCTTCTGTTCCTATAGTCGAACACTCTTATAAACTTAGCATTCATTGACACGTCCGTTGTTTCTGATTAGGAATTATGAGTCTGGCCCCATCTTCCTCTGTCTGGTAAACCCGTTTTGCAATGAGTTGAACTATCTTCTGCAAGGGTATCCAGACCGACAGACATTTGTAAGCCCTAAATAATGGCTAACACCAACTGCAATTAGGGATGAGTGCGTGAGTCCGTGCTATAAACACTTAGAGATGGGCTGGCTGACTACAAAAACGAGATCTTTCAGCTCAGCTTTATTATGGGCATCAATAAAACAAAATTTGTGGTTGCATTACTGATCCACTGATGGTTAAAAATTTCATCATCCGCAGTTGAACTACTGTCGGACGAGTATTAAATGCAGTGGGTTATGCCCTACTGCTGCACTCTCAATTGCTTTTTGTTAGGTTCTTTCTTTTGGGCACTTCACGCAAGCATCTCTAATGCAGCGCCCGTGGTTGGTGGCGTAGTGCTGCTCTCTCTATGTGGGTGGGTGTAAATCCGCTTGGTGTCAGCTATAATTTAATTTAGACAACAGACAACCGCAGGCCACCCACTCACACACACAGCAGGGCACCCACAGGTAACTGGACTTGGACGTTGTTGAATGGACGTCATAGTTGGGAACGACTTTTCATAACCTAAAATATTTATTAGACAGTTTAATTTTCAATTCACAAAAAACAGCAGAGCCAATCCAAACAGTGGATGTGCGTGTGTGTGTGTGTGTGTATTAAATAGAATATCAAAGTAGTTGATGTTTGGAGCTTGTTTCATGTTTATTTACTTGTAATTACTGCAATGACTTTGGCTGCTTAATGACTTCAGTAATTATAAGTTAATGTTTGATTGGCTTAATGAATGAGAGAACGGCTGATTCATTGATTCAGTAATTCGCTGGCAATTGACGGGTTGACTTCCTCGTCTATTGCTTGCCTGATTGACTGAGTCACAGATCGTCTAATTGATTGACTGTTTGACTGCTTACGATTATAATTATTTTAATTGCCTAGTCGATGGATTGAGAACTGATTGCTTACTTTACTTGTATATTTTTCACTTTACACGAGTATTGACTGATTTGATTGATTGATTGACAGACTCTACTACTGATTACTAGAATGATTCATTTATAGTCTCGCTGTTCTTAAGGACAGATGACTGACTAATCGTAGGACTGACTCTGATTGAACGTCAATCGTACGTCCGATTGACTGGTGAACATCCGCTCATACACTAAGCACTGCATTAAGCCCTTGCTTTTGGAAATTGAATTTCTAATCTCTTTTGGGCCATGAGTTATGCCAGCTTTGGGGCGCAAAGGGCTGGGATACCCTTCAAAGGTAGAGAAGATGTCGAAGAGTTGAACTCTGGCATGAACCTTGGCATTGCCCAAGTGACCGGGTTGTAAAGTTTTTCGACAGCCACGCAAATAATGGGCATAAATACGACTCAAACAAAGGCAGCAGGGTGGCAAGCAGCTGTAGATGGAGTTCTGGCCAAGAAGGTGTTGCAGGTTAAACATAAATTACTGCGTCACATGCAACGAGCTTTTGAGGTTGCTCAGCAATAACCGCGTAAAGCGCCAAAAGTTTTGTGTTTGCGAAACTGCGAGAGGGAAATGTTCAAAAGATGCGAAGCTGAAAGGGAAGGAAGAGGCAGGAAGGGGTAGAAAATAAGAAGGGGAGACAAGAGACGTTAGGAGGATACGCGATGAGACAGGATGTGGGTAAGAGAGAAAAGTGAAAATTAAGAGATAAGAGGGAAGATATTAGAGATGAGTTCTAAGGGATAAAGGAGTTAGGGGTAAGAGGTAAGAGGTAAGAGGTAAGAGGTGAGAGGTGAGAGGTAAGAGGTAAGAGGTAAGAGGTAAGAGGTAAGAGGTAAGAGGTAAGAGGT